GATGGCTTCAGCAGTCTCCATGCGAAGGGCATCATGGCTCTTGCTCTCGGGGCTCTCCGTGGAGTCCCAGTCTATAATGCAGGACCTGCCATTTGATGGCAAAGCATTATTTGCTGACCAGACAGACACCCGTCTGCACGGGATGAACGACTCCCGCACCACCCTGCAGACGCTAGGCCTGTACGTCCCGCCCTCTAAGGACAAGCCCAGGCCTCAAACCTCTGCTCCTCCGGCTCAGGGCAGATACGAACCCCTGCCTAAGCGGCAGAGAGAGCAGAGGCGTCGGTCCCAACGCCAATCCCGTTCGGCCTCAAGACCTGGGACTTCGAAGGCCAAGAGGCCAGGGAAACGGCGTTTTTGACTCGTTGAGGGGGGTCATAGGGCCTGTTGCCAGTGTACCCCCCCCCAGTTAATAAAGTTGTTTTATCAACCGTTTATCAGCCTTCCGGCTGCAATGGTCCCGTATAACGTTGGACCGATGGGTCCTCAACACCATCTCCCAAGGGTACAGGTTGCAATTCGTTTCAATCCCTCCCAACCATCCCCCATCCCAGGAGCTGGCCGGGGACCCGGACCATGCCCTCCTCCTCCGCCTGGAGGTAGAGCGCCTCCTCTCCTTGGGAGCTGTGGAAAGGGTACCTCGGAAATACCAGGGCAAGGGTTTTTACTCCAGGTATTTCCTCATCCCGAAGGCGAAGGGTGGGCTTCGGCCCATCCTCGATCTTCGGAATCTCAACCAGTTCCTGGTTCATTGAAAATTCCGCATGGTGTCCCTGGCCTCTATTATTCCATCCCTAGACCAGGGGGATTGGTTTACGGTGCTGGACCTCCAGGATGCGTACTTTCACATCCACATTGTCGAGGGTCACAGGCGCTTCCTCCGTTTCCTGGTGGGTCAGGACCACTTCCAGTTTATGGTCCTCCCCTTTGGCCTCTCTACTGCCCCAAGGGTATTTACAAAGTATTTGCATTCGCACCTGTTACGACCTGGCAGGGGTTCCCCCGCCTCCTATAGTGAAGGCTCATTCGACGAGAGCCCAGACCTCGTCAGCAGCCTATGTGGCTCATGTCCCTATTCAGGACATCTGTAGGGCTGCTACGTGGTCCTCTGTCCACACCTTCTCATCGCACTATGCGATCGTCTCCCAAATGAGGGATGACGCCGGGCTTGGTAGGGCGGTGCTCCGCCCGGGTAACCCTTAAGACTTAAAACTTAAACTCCTACCCACCTCCATCAGGGATAGCTTGGAGTCACCTATAGTGGAATACACAGGAGCAATCACTCGAAGAAGAAAGGACAGTTACCTGTTCTGTAACTGGCGTTCTTCGAGATGTGTTGCTCAGGTGTATTCCACGTCCCGCCCTCCTTCCCCTCTGTCGGAGTTTTCTGGCAAGAGGGAACCGAGGGGGGGGTGCGCGCAGCCCCCTTTATGGCATGATATACTGGCGCCACTCCAGCGGTCGCAGCGGTGCTCCCCCAGTACGGATACTGCTAAGGGAAAAACTTCCGGCACCGGTGCATGTGGCAAGCACGCACACCTATAGTGGAATACACCTGAGCAACACATCTTGAAGAATGCCAGTTACGGAACAGGTAACTGTCCTTTTTTCTGTGGGTGGATACTCCTCCCTCCCCCTGTGTAGAATTCCAGCTACAAGAAGGAGTTTTGGAGTCACATGGGGAAGTCACATGTCCATGCATGATTCAGAACTTACAGGTAGCAGACATGGTTCACATGCTACCTTGAATGTCCTCAAGTAGACTTCTTATGTGGATTGGAGCCTTCCAAGATCCATTGTTCATTAAGTGTTTCTTGATTGGGCACTTAATTTGCGCATTCCTTTCTCAAGAAGCTGACCAAATGCAAGTACACAGCCAATATTCATAACTTTGAGTACAAAAATGACACATGCATACAAATAGGATGAATATCAGTAGATCATAACTTTACAGAGATATGTTACATGGCATATGTAGCATAAAACATATTCCAGTTATGTCATATATACATTCATAAGCATATTCCTATGAAGCATTATGGGGTGCTATGTCACAGATGGATAACATGCATGCAAAATAATTATTATGGCTTAGGAAACAGTTCCTTGTGTTTAGAGAGTCTGATTATTGCTTTCTTGAGGTTCTTTCTCCCGCCTATCCATTTTTCATAGTCCTACCTCAAATATACATATGATATATAATCAATATATTTTTGAAAATCTGGGACTTTAATCAGTTTATTAAAAAAATAATTCTTGCTTGACACCAGAAATGTTCCCAGTCTGTTTCCTTCTTTCTCCTATGAGTTGATTTGGAAAGTGAAGTGAAGAGGACCAGTATCAATGTTTAATAATGACTCTAAAACATATGCCTTTGACATTCACAGCACTATAGTGCTAATTAAACACAACAAACAAAACGGAAACAAAACTCCTGCACGGCACCAAAATTTTAAGACTAAATTTGGGGTCAGAGATTTAGTTAAAGAGAGGGAAATGGAAAACACTATCCTACATTTGCAAGAAAAGATTTAATGTTTCCATTTTTGAAAGCCATACACACACACCCTTTGGGGTTTAGAAGTGGCAGAAGGTTTCATCCTTAAAAGAATGAATTATAGTCGACACCCTTCGCTGCTAATCCTGAACCAGAAGTGTTCTTTCATTTCTTTGTTAATATACTTTGCAAAATAATTGTGTTTGAAGTAGGCCTACCAGTTGGGGACTGTTAGCCTTACTTCCAAACATAGCTTCAAAGGCATTCCTCCTCACTCACATTCTTGTTTTCGTGCCTGTCCGCTGGGTTCATTTCCCTCCCTGCCCGAAAGTGATTCAGACTAGTGTCCCAAAAAAAAAAAAAAAAAAAAGGGGGGGGGGAGAGAATCGTCATCTGAACCAGACTGGGACAAACCCTCAGCATTCTTTAAAAAACCCACCATATCTTTTCAAGTATGGTTTTGGTGGATTAGTTCTCATGAAAACAAGTTTAGGGTTAAAAAAAATCTAACTACTAGATTAGCAACTGCATAATCTACTTTCACGCCTCCCAGACGATTGAGATCATAGGCGTTAATCGAGGTCACCTCCTACCCAAGTTATGAGTGGAGAGTTCCGTGTGTAGGGGTGCCTGGGTAGAGTGGGAAGAAGAGATCTCGTCTGCACGGTGCTGTGCTTTCTTATTTGCACGGTCTCTCAGCGGGGCTGGTAACCTTCCCCAGAGAAACCTTGTGTATTTAATGGTCCCGAAAGGGTTTTGTTTTGTGTCTGAACAGATTGCTAAAGAAATGAATCCGGCCAAATTAAAAAGAGAGAAAGACAACCCCTAGGTGGCGTAAATTGGAAAACAGGATTGATTTGGAAACTGTGCGAATTGATTTCCAAACTGCTCAGGTTCAAATAGCCCCCGGGAGCAGATCTCTAGGGGCTGGCAGGCACAGCCGAGAAGAAAGGGAGGAGGGTGAGAAGCTGACGCAGAGTGGGAGCGAGAGGCTGCCCTGGTTGGAGAAGTGGAGAAGAGCTAAAAGTTCCTCAAAACTTTACCGGGGGGAGGCAGAGGAGGGGATCGCGGCGAACCGGGGGGTGGAGCCGCCAGGGGGAGTTAATCTGCGTTAACATCCCGGCACAGCCGCCCCTTTCCCCACCACCACGGCACTCGCAGCAGCCAGGCAACAGGCTGGGGCAACTCTCCCCACAATTGGCTGGGGAGATCAGCGTGTGTCGGAGGGGAGGGCCAGGCAGGCGGCTGGCCGCCTTTCCTTCCCCCGCTCCCTGGAGGAAGCCCTGGGCGTGACGTGCGTGGCTCGGAGCGGGGCCCGGTACAAGCTCCCCCCCCTTCCCCAGATAGGAGGAGGGAAGAGGGGAGGAGTGATCTGGGCAGAGCCGGGGAGCGGGGCTGTGCGCGCTCAGAGAGCCGGGGGACTAGCGGGAGCTGGTGCTGCCGCACCTGGTGCGTTGTGACAGGGCAGGGCTCGGAGCAGGGGTCCAGCCTCCAGCCCGGCACCGCTCCCCGCCGCGGGGCTCTGGGTTGGCTGCAGTTCACCAGCGCGGCTGCCCCTCTCTCCTTCCTGCGCTTGCCGGGCCGGTGGGTGGCAGCGGCGGCGGCTCTGCCCCGGCCCCCATGGCTTCAGCCGGCAGCGGGATGGAGGAGGTGCGCGTGTCTGTGCTGACCCCGCTCAAGCTGGTGGGGCTGATGTGCATCTTCCTGTCGCTGTGCCTGGATCTGGGAGCCGTGCTGAGCCCGGCCTGGGTCACGGCCGACCACCAGTATTACCTGTCCCTGTGGGAGTCCTGCCGCAAGCCCGGCAACTTGGACAGCTGGCTCTGCGAGTCCACCCTGCGCAGCGGTGAGCTACAGCATCCTCCTCCCTTCCCTGCCACCCCCTCCCCAGCCATGCTGCCTGTAGCCACCCCTCCCCAGCATCTCCCCCAGCCATGCAACCCCCAGCCACCCATTGCGATCCCACCCTTAAGCCGCCGGGAGCACCTCTACCCCAAGTCACTCCTACCGAGCCATCCCACCCTTCATCCACCCCTACCCAGCACGCCACCCTTCAGCTGCCCATGTCTACCCTTACCCAGCCAGCCCTTCTACCCCAAGTCACTCCGACCTAGCCACGCCACCCCTAACCATCCCCCACCCTTCAGCCGTCCATAATATCCACCCATACCCAGCTTTCCCACCCATTATACCCTAGCCATTCCACTCCACCACTCCTACCTAGCACTACTCCACCCAGTCTACCCCAGTCCCCTAACCTTCCACCCTGCACTGTATCCTCATTTGCCTGCCTATCCGCCAGCATTGTCTCCAAATCCCATTCCCCCTCCGTAGCCAGCCTGCATCCCAGTCTCCCTCTCTGCTGCCTCTCCTCCTCAGTGCTGCATCCCAATCCCAGTCCTCTCCTGTCTAGTAATGCAGTCCAGTCTCCCTTGTCTCCTTTAGCGCTGCCTTCCAGGTTCCACTCTGCCATACTGCATCCCAGTCCTGCACCTCTGCTCCTACTCATCCATCTCGCTAGTTCCAAATGGATAGATAAGTGATTGTCTAAATAATGCATATGTGCCGAGAGCGCCACAATTCCACGTACCACCAAGCCCTTTCTCTATTTTGTGGTCAGGGAGGCAGGAGCGGGTTAAGAATGGGTAGTTTCTGTAAATCAGCTAGGTGGCTGCATTTGTCTTTGCTATGCCAAAAGGTCCTGAGTTTTGGTTAGTTCTGGTTTTTGACCGCTGGTGGTTGTTCACCAAAGAAGGAGCAATTTTTATATCGCCTCCAAAGTAACCAGCAGGATCTGCCTGTAAAGTTGGGGCTTCCAGCCCAGTGATCTGCAGATCAGCCTAGATAAGAAATCGGTTTTTGTTTTGTTTTGTTTTTTGTTTTGTTTTTTTACTTTGTCCTGAGCAGACACCCTTTGGATTCTGTCATCCCTTTGCTCCTCTCTGCCCCCCTGGTTATGTGTTTCCCTTCTTAGCAAGTATATGTCCTTTCCAGGAAAGCTACACTACCTGCAGGGCCGCCGATGGGGGCGGGGGCAAAAGGGGCAGCTGCCCCGGGGCCCGGCCATTTAAAAGGGCCCGGGGTTCCGTCCCGGCTGGAGCCCCGGCAGCGTGGAAGGACTGGCTGGGGAGGCTGACCCCCAGCCCCGCCCTTTCCGCCCGGAGCCGGCCCCCCATACCGGCAAGTCTTTTATCTTACTTTCACCCCTGCCTTTCCTCTCCTTTCATATTCCTTTCGCCCTATAATCACGTCTCTCGTTTGGGTCTATTGGTGTTTCTTCAGTTTTTTGCCTCTTTTGTTCATGGATGGGGGGAGAGGGGGCACCTTTCCTATTTAAAAACTGCTTGGGATACTCAGAAACGGTCTGTGAATGAAACAAACAAGCTGTCTCTTGGATTCCATTCGTTTAAAAAATCTGCTTTTTTACGGGTTTTTCTAGGCTTCGTTGCAAAAACTTCTGGAGTCCCAATGGAAACATTTACAAGTTAAATCAAAACCCGCACAGAAAAAACTGCTAAAGCATCTATTGGTGTCAGTCTTTGCCCTCAGATTTTTGGTAACCGTGCAAGGGAAGAGATCATTAGCTGTTAGCCTGGTTTTGTACTGTATGTTTTTAATGCATGAATTTCTTCTTTTCCTGGCTTCTCTGAAATCTTTTTGTAGTTCTCAGAACCAATCTAAGCTCTGCTTGAAAACAATATTACAGAATTCCCTTCGTTGGTTGTCTTAAATTATTTTATTCATTGTCAGTGTCTGGGGTAACGTATGGTGGGGTTTAGTGTTATTTGTTTTAGTCTGTGTAATGCAAAAATTACTCTTAAAAATGTCATCTTGGTTCAGTTACCAGGGAATTTAAACAAACTTTGGAGGACAGCTTTCTTTTCCTTCTTCAGGATAAATGTAAATTTATGTAGGAATGTCAGCTTCGAAGTGTCTCCTTAGCAACGAATCCTTTGCCCCTTCTCAGTGTCCTGAAATAATATCCCCTTGATTGCATAAAGACTTTTCAGATGGCTTCATCTCCTCCCCCCTTTTTTTCACTGTGTGTTTGCCCCTTCCCCACAAAAGAATGTGTAGAATTAAAAGAAGCTGGACAGTGCAAAGCAGCATTTGAGGGTTGTTAATCTGTCTCTAATTGCTTTGTCAGTCATCTACCTTTTCTATTTTTATGGAAGACAGAGGGAGGCAGGTGGGTGGAGAAAGGGGGATGGGTTAAGATGTCAATGCAGCCTTGCTGGACAGTGCATGTTAAAAATCAAAGCAGATCTGCTGCCCTCGCCTGACCCTTTCTCTACCCCTTGCAGAAATTCTTGACTGTTCGATTCTATTCCAGTTCTTTGAAACAGCTTTGCTCATTTTCCTTTAAGGAGAGCCAGGTTTCACAAGCTACTGGGGAAGAAATGAATGATTGTTTTATTTGAGGTGACTAGAACAAGACCTTTACTTTCCTCATGTTTGGCACATGATCCTGCTCTCAAAGGGAACCTGAAATATGAGAAACTGTGTTGTTCTTTCTGCCCCACTTCTCTTCAGAGCCAGATACAACCCATTAAAGTCAATGGAAAGGCTCCCGCTGAATTCAGTGAGAGTTAGATCAGACCCATATTCCATGACATCATGAGTTCTTGCTTAATATTTGAAGTGCAATTTCTTACTACATGAAGAATATAGTAAGCAGTAAATTTTGGAAACTTTTGTCATAACTAGGCTTAGGGTCCCCAACTGCTGTCAAAAGAGCTACTTTGTTGTGTTTGTATCAAGGAATTTACAGAGAGTGATTGCATGGGCAGTAACCCAAAATAATTTCTTTTGCCTGTTTTCATCCATGTCAATACTTCCATCACTTGGCATACAGTATACATCTATTCTTGAGGATTTTTTAAAATAATTTTAACTAAGCACCCCATGTCTTTCTTAGCATTGTTATACTTAGAGCTGTGTGAATACTTCCTAGTATTGCCAGCCCTATGTGTTCAAAAATCATGAGTCAGGCCAACAAAATCACGAGATTGGCTTAAAAAGCATGAGATTTTTTTAAAATGTAAATACATTTTAGGGTTCTTTGTATTTGCCTCCTGGCTTTTGAGTCATTAGGGTTCACTTGGGTCATGTTTTCGATTTTTTTCTCAGCAACCCTGAGGGCTAGAACCTTAATTTAGTTTTCAAATGGAAGCTGATATTCTTACCTAATCACACATCTCCAGAAGCTGGGGCTTTAAGGAAAAGTCACAAAGTATCACAAGACTTCCAGTACAATTGCAAGAGTTGGTTACGCCAATTAAGTATTTTAGGAGTTGTGCTGCAATACAAATTTTGTCTGGGGCAAAAACTTAACATGCAGAGTTTTGCCTATGTGCAAATCTGTAAATTTTTTAAAACGTCATCCTTCTGATTTTTAAATATGTGGGACTAAAACCAAGGATTTACAGGATTCGGATGCTTTCTTTGGCTTTGTTTTTAAACAGAATCTTGCAGATTATTATTCTGATGTGGGTTAGGCTCTTCTTAAATTATAATGTGTTTAAGGCAAAAGAAGTTCATGTTTAAATAGGGGTTATTGAGCATGCACACTTAATTTCTCATGACATTTCTATATAATTAAATGCATCTTATAAAAAATGGTATGACACGTCTATATAGCTTGGGTTCTTTTTTTACAATAGACCTTAGCCAACATATGCTGTCAAATCAAAAATACATATAAATATGAACTGGTAAACAGATCAGTTCTGAAGGAACCATTTATATCAGGTAAATGTGTATTTTGGTTTAAATATATACATCTGTATTTTATAGACCAAAATGGCTCCTCGGGGAGCATTATGGCTTATTGCATCAATAATACACATAAAAATATTTATGAATATAAATGAATATAGTTAACAAGTGTAAAGCCTTTCTGGTTTATAGGGCAAATATTAATTCTTTTTAGTAAACCACCTAAATACACATATTTGCAACATTTAATTCTCTTTAAGAAAATTATACTCTTTACAACCTTTCATGAAGGTTTAAAAGACAAAACAAACCCAAGGGAATAAATACAACAAGGTCTTTATAGATGTTTAAATTTAGTACTCAGAAGTCATTGAAGGTAAGCTGATAATCCATCCTTAACTTGGAACATAGTGCATATTAAAAATTATTTAACTGTAGTTTTGTGCTTAAAATCCTATTCTAATGTAATAAGCTGTTCTTAAAAAAATGAAGTAGAACTGACTGTCCTTGTTTGGTGTCAGATCACTTGCATGACTTTAACCTAAATTATACACTAGGTGAAAATTTCTAAAGTAACATGGTCAATAGTCTTGGATGACACATACATGCTTATTTTGATTCTGAGCAATTGCGTCAAAGCAAAGTTGCTAGCTCGAAAGTGACTTTGTCCTTGGAAGCTATGGATCTTTGCTCTAAGTGAGTAGGTATTGACACATATTTGCAAAAAGCTCAGCAAGATACGTAGTCACTACAGTACCCTCTTCTGGCTTGCTATAAAGTAGCATAAGCAGAACAAATGTAATTTTATTAAGTCTAAAAAAAGGTAGTTAAACAGGAATGGAAAATTAATACTCAGTCCCATAGCTAACATGAAAACTTCTGTACTTTACTGATGTATCCAAAAAAGTTATATGCCAAACTAAATAAAATGCAAGTGCAGCTTATTTCTCTCTTCTGCCTTGACAGAAAATTGATTTTTAGTGTTTTTTCTTAACAGATTTCCATAATTCCAGAACATACACATTCCCCCCCCCCCCCCCCCAAAAGGAGTAATACTGACCTATAAGGATACAAACATTTTCAGCATTCTTTTCTGTCAGTGGTAAAGAAACATTCATCCTCATATAG